GAAGAATTTCAGGTTAATGGTGTTGACCAGATCTTAAACAGGATTGTAGAAGAGAATTTCCCAAAATTAAGGAAAGACATCCCCATACAAACACAGGAAGCATGTAGAACACCAAACAGATAGCATCAGAAAAGAAATTCCCCATGACAAATCATAGTAAAAACCCTAAATGTACAGAACAAAGAGGGAATACTGAAAGCAGCAAAAGAAAAACAACAAGTCACATACAAAGGAAAACCCATCAGAATTACAGATGACTTATCATTGCAAACTATGAAAGCCAGAAGAGCCTGGACCAAGGTATTTCCAGTTCTACATGACAATAGATGTCAACCCAGAATACTATACACACCAAAAATGTTTATTACAGTTGAGGGGGAAAGAAAAATCTTCCATGACACAAATAACCTGAAAGAATACATGTCCACAAAACCAGCCTTCAAAGAATACTTGAAGCAATTGAGAGAGCAAAGAGGGAAACAACTATACCCTAGGGGCAATAAAAGAAAATAAACAAAGATATACCAGGAAACACAAAATTACACAGAGAACACAAACAGCAATCAAAACAATGGCAACCAATGCACACCTTTCAGTAATAACCTTAAATATCGATGGACTGAACTCCCCAGTCAAAAGACACAGGCTAAGTGAACGGATTAAGAAACAAAATCCATCTCTTTGCTGTCTGCAAGAAACCCATCTCACCTTCAAGGACAGGCACTACCTTAAGGTAAAAGGATGGAAAAGAATATTCCAAGCAACTGGCATGAAGAAACAAGCAGGGATTGCAATTCTAATATCTGACAAAATAGACTTCAAAGTAAAACTAATCAGAAGAGATAAGGAGAGTCACTTCATTCTGATCAAAGGAACAATTAACCAGGAAGGTATTACAATCCTTAACATATATGTACCAAACTCTGGTACACCCAAATTCACAAAAACAACACATAGGACTTTAAGACACAGATTAACCCCAACTCAGTAATAGTAGGGGACTTCAATACCCCACGGTCTCCATTAGACAGGTCAACTGGACAAAGAATAAACAGAGAGACATCTGAAATAAATGATGTCATACATTAAATGGACTGAACAGACATCTTCTGAATATTCTACCCAAGCACCAGAGAATACACTTTCTACTCAGCAACCCATGGAACTTTTTCAAAAATTGGTCACATACTGGGCCACAAAACAAACCTCAACAAATATTACACACTCCTAAACAATGAGTGGGTCAAAGAAGAAATTAAGAAAGAAATAAAAGAATTCCTGGAGTTCAACAAAAAGGACAATATAACACAACACAACCTCTGGGGCACTTTAAAAGCAGTCCTAAAAGGGAAGTTTATAGCTCTAAGTGCCTACATGAAAAATTTAGAAAGAGCCCAAATAAATGACCTAACATTGTAACTCAAGACACAGGAAAGGCAAGAACAAATGAAACCCAAACCCAGCAGAAGAGAAGAAATAACAAAATCAGAGCAGAAATTAAAGAAATAGAAACAACGAAAAACAATACAAAGAATCAATGAATCTAAGAGCTGGTTCTTTGGAAAGATAAACAAGATAGAACCATAGCCCAGTTAACCAAAAGAAAGAGCAAATCCAAATCAACAAAATCAGAGATGAAAGGGGAAACATCACAACAGACACCCAAAAAGATTCAGAATTTGAGAGTTCAAGGGAAAATTTTTTAAAATTTATTTTATTTTATTTTTTGATCTTTTTGAGACACAATCTCTCTGTAGCTCCAGCTGTCCTGGAACTCACTATGTAGACCAGGCTGGAAACTCACAGAGATCCGTTTGCCTCTGCCTCCTGAGTGCTAGGACTAAAGGCATGTGCCCCCATGCCCAGCTCATTTAATTCTTAGGACATGTCTGAAAGGAAAATGTTACTGTTCATTTCCATTTTCTAGAGCACATTGAGATATAAGTTTAGCAACTTGTTTACTATGTGAGCCCTTCCTAAAATGTGCTCCA